TTTTCAACCTTCCTCTGGCTATTTGAGGTCTTTTCTGGTTCCATATAAATTTTAGGATTATTTGTTCCACCTCTTTGGAAAAAAAAAAGGATAGCATTTTGATAGGGATTGCATTAAACGTGTAGATTGCTTTAGGTAGCATAGACATTTTCACAATATTTGTTCTTCCAATCCACGAGCACGGAACATTTTTCCATTTCTTTGTGTCTTCCTCCATTTCTTTCGTGAGTACTTTATAGTTTTCTGAGTATAGATTCTTAGCCTCTTTGGTTAGGTTTATTCCTAGGTATCTTATAGTTTTGGGTGCAATTGTAAATGGGATTGACTCCTTAATTTCTCTTTCTTCTGTCTTGTTGTTGGTGTATAGAAATGCAACTGATTTCTGTGCATTGATTTTATATCCTGACACTTCACTGAATTCCTGTAGGAGTTCTAGCAGATTTGGAGTTGAATCTTTTGGGTTTTCCAAAAGATGATAAAGAGTGAAAGTTTGACTTCTTCTTTGCCAATTTTGGATGCCTTTAATTTCTTTTTGTTGTCTGATTGCTGAGGCTAGGACTTCTAGTACTATGTTGAATAGCAGTGGTGATAATGGACATCCCTGCTGTGTTCCTGACCTTAGCGGAAAAGCTCTCAGTTTTTCTCTATTGAGGATGATATTCGCGGTAGGTTTTTCATAGATGGCTTTGATGATATGGAGGTATATACCTTCTATCCCTACACTTTGAAGAGTTTTGATCACGAAAAGATGTTGTACTTTGTCAAATGCTTTTTCAGCATCTGTTGAGAGTATTGTATGGTTCTTGTTCTTTCTTTTATTAGTGTGTTGTATCACATTGATTGAATTGTGGATATTAACCCAACATGGCAGCCCAGGAATAAATCCCACTTGGTCGTGGTGAATAATCCTTTTAATGTACTATTGGATCCTACTGGCTAGTATTTTGGTGACAATTTTTGCATCTTTGTTCATCAAGGATATTGGTCTGTAATTTTCTTTTTGTATGGGGTCTTTGTCTGGTTTTGGGATCAAGGTAATGCTGGCTTCATAAAATGAGTTTGGACATTTTTCTTCCATTTCTATTTTTTGGAACAGTTTCAGGAAAATAGGAATTAATTCTTCTTTAAATGTTTGGTAGAATTCCCCTGGGAAGCTGCCTGTTCCTGAGCTCTTGTTTGTTGGGAGATTTTTGATGACTGCTTCAATCTCCTTACTGGTTATGGTTCTGTTCAGGTTTTCTTTTTCATCCTGATTCAGTTGTGGTAGTTTATATGTCTCTAGGAATGCATCCATTTCTTCCAGATTGTCAAATTTGCTGGCATATAGTTGCTTATAATATGTTCTTATAATTGTTTGTATTTCTTTGGTGTTGGCTGTGATTTCTTCTTTTTCATTCATGATTTTATTTATTTGGATCTTTTCTCTTTTCTTTTTGATAAGTCTGGCCAGTTGTTTATCAATCTTACTAATTCAAAGAACCAGCTCCTAGTTTCATTGATTTGTTCTATTGTTTTTTTTTTGGTTTTGATTTCCTTGATTTCTTCTCTGATCTTTATTATTTCTCTTCTCCTGCTGGGTTTAGGCTTTCTTTGTTGTTCTTTCTCCAGCTCCTTTAGGTGTAGGTTTAGGTTATGTACTTGACATCTTTCTTGTTTCTTGAGAAAGTCTTGTATCACAATACACTTTCACCTCAGGACCACCTTTGCTCTGTGTCCCATAGATTTTAAACAGTTGTTTTCATTTTCATTTGTTTCCATGAATTTTTTTAGTTCTACTTTAATTTCCTGGTTGACCCATTCATTCTTTAGTAGGATGCTCTTTAGCCTCCATGTATTTGGGTTCTTTCCAACTTTCCTCTTGTGATTGAGTTCTTGCTTCAGAGCATTGTGGTCTGAAAATATGCAGGGAATGATCCCAATCTTTTGTTAGTGGTTGAGACCTGAATTGTGATGCAGGATGTGATCTATTCTGGAGAATGTTCCATGTGCGCTAGAGAAGAATGTGTACTCTGTTGCTTTGGGATGGAATATTTTGAATACATCTGTGATGTCCATCTGGTCCAGTGTGTCATTTAAAGCCTTTATATCCTTGTTGATTGTTTGCTTGGATGATCTGTCCATTTCAGTGAGGGGGGTGTTAATGTCCCCTACTATTATTGTATTATTGTCAATGTGTTTCTTTGATTTTGTTATTAATTGGTTTATGTAGTAGGCTGCTCCCATGTTAAGGGCATAGATATTTAAAGTTGTTAGATCTTCTTGTTGGACAGACCCTTTGAGTATGATACAGTGTCCTTCCTCATCTCTTACTATAGTCTTTGGCTTAAAATATAATTGAACTGATAAAAGGATCTCCACCCAAAAAGACAAAAATGTCTTTTTGATGTCCATTAGCATGGTAAACTGTTTTCCACCCCCTCACTTTAAATCTGAAGGTGTCTTTGGGTCTAAAATGAGTTTCTTGTAGACAGCATATTGATGGTTTTTTTTTTTCTTTATCCATTATGATACCCTTTGTCTTTTGATTGAGGTATTTAGCCCATTTAACTTCAGGGTTACTATTGAGAGATATGAATTTAGTGCCATTGTATTGCCTATAAGGTGACTGTTACTGTATCTTGTCTCTGTTCCTTTCTGGTCTACTACTTTTATGTTCTATCTTTGCTTAGAAGACCCCTTTCAATATTTCCTGTGGAGCTGGCTTGGTGTTTACAAACTCTTTAAGCTTTTGTTTGTTCTGGAAGCTTTTTATCTCTCCTTTAATTTTCAATGATAGCCTAGCTGGATATAGTATTCTTGACTGCATGTTTTTCTCCTTTAGTGCTCTGAATATATCATGCCAGCTCTTTCTGGCCTGCCAGGTATCTGTGGATAAGTCTGCTGCCAATCTAATATTTTTACCATTTTATGTTACAGACTTCTTGTCCTGGGCCGCTTTCAGGATTTTCTCTTTGTCGCTAAGACTTGTAAGTTTTACTATTAGATGACGGCGTGTGGATCTATTCTTACTGATTTTGAGTGGAGTTCTCTGTGCCTCCTGGATTTTGATGCTTGCTCCCTTTGCCATATTAGGGAAATTCTTTACTATAATTCACTGCAATATACCTTCTGCAATATACCACCCCCTTCTTCTTCTAGAAACCCAGTTATTCTAATATTGTTTCGTCTTATGGTATCACTTATCTCTCGAATTCTCCCCTTGTGGTCCAGTAGTTGTTTGTCTCTCTTTTGCTCAGCTTCTTTATTCTCTGTCATTTGGTCTTCAATATCACTAATTCTCTCTTCTGCCTCTTTTATCCTAGCAGTAAGAACATCCATTTTTGATTGCACCTCATTAATAGCTGTTTGCTTTCAGCTTGGTTAGATTTTAGTTCTTTTATTTCTCCAGAAAGGGCTTTTATATCACCCGAGAGGGTTTCTCTAATATCTTCCATGTCTTTTTTGAGCCCCGGTAGCACCTTGAGAATTGTCATTCTGAACTCTAGATCTGACATATCACCAATGTCCATATTGATTAGGTCCTTAGCCTTCAGTACTCCCTCTTGTTCTTTTTTTTTTTTTGTGTGTTGAGTTTTTCCACCTTGTCATTTTATCCAGATAAGAATATATGGATGAGAGAATAAAATACTAAAAGGGTGGAAAAGACCCCAGAAAAATGTGAGTTAACCAAATCAGAAGAGACCGCAAATTGAAGGAAGAAGAAACGGGGTAAAAAGAAGTTAAAAAATAAATTAAAAAAAAGAAGAAGAAAATAGAAAATACATTTATTATACTGGTGAATGAAACAGAGCCACCCACTTGATTTTGGAAGTATTTTGGTCTCTTAGAAGACACTATCTCCCAAAATTTTAAATAAAGAAACACACACACACACACACACACACACACACACACACACAAATATGGGTAAACAAAATGAAGGGATGGAATATGACTGTAAAGATGAAAATTTAAAAAAAAAATTCTAAAAAAGGAGTTGATAACATAAATTGGTTGGGAAAAGAAAGAAAAAGAAAGTGGAGAGAATTTGCTCAGGCTGTAGACTAGAACAAACCCTGTGCTAGACTTAGGGTATATTTTGATCTATTAGAAGAAATTGTATCCCAAAATTTTTTAGAAGAAAAAACCCTATGTGTATACAAAAGATAAAGTTAGATATCATGAAGGATAAAGTATGACTATAATAATAAAGGTTCAAAAAGATTTTTTTTTTAAGAAAGATATTAAGATAAAATTTCAGGAAGTGGTCGATTTTCCATTTCTAGAATTGCTGCTCTGCTCTTCCATCTCCTGTTGGATTTGTAGGTATTCGGGATGATTTGATAACTATCTAGCTGAACTTCTGCTACCTGATGTCATCTCAGCCTGCTATTCCTCTGCCATCTTTACTCCCGTATTAGTATTTACTAATAATATAGATTGTAGGATCTAAATAAAGAAGTATATAGTGAAAATTTTCTTGGTTTTAGTTATTGTATTAAGATTTACTGTACTTAATTTTTGTGAAAATATAACAATCATTTTTTGAAGTTTTCTCCTTAGTTTAAGTGCCCCAAGGTAGGATGATATGCAATAGTTTATGATAATCAAAACCAGAAGAAATCAATTTTTAAAATGCATGTGTTTAAAATTTTCTGATGCAATAATTATAAACTTATAATTATATTAAGAATAAAATATCACCACTATTATAATTTGTCTAAGTTCTGGAGTTGATTGTGATAGTTCTGTGATAGTTTTGATTGTGATTTAGTTGTAATAGTTGAATAGTAGAATTTCACATGGAGTTATTGTGCTGTTTTCTACATTATCTTTTTCCAGAGACTTTACATTCTACTGATTTTACAGCCCTTTCAATAATGTTCTATATGGATTAATTTATTTCTATGTCCTGAGCATGTTTTATTGATGTGCATTTCTGCTCTAAAGGAAAAAAAAAAATTCTGAGTGTTATGTTATTTGTTTTGTTTCCCTTTCCTTTCCCTTTCTTTTTTACATAGGCCTTTAGTGAATTTGAGATTGAGCAGCATCAAGAATGTGCTTATGATCACTTGGAAGTATTCGATGGAGAAACAGAAAAATCACCAATTCTTGGAAGACTCTGTGGTAACAAGATACCAGAGCCCCTTGTGGCTACCGGAAGTAATATGTTTGTTCGGTTTGTTTCTGATGCATCTGTTCAAAGGAAAGGCTTTCAAGCCACACATTCTACAGGTCAGCAAATTAGGGCCATGTTTCTCTTTCCTAACTCTTCTAGTGAATGCAATGGCATTCACTAGAACATTAATGTTCAACAGGAACATTAATGAATTTCTGAGAACTAGAACATTTCACTAGAACATTAATGTTCAACAAGAACATTAATGGATTTCTGAGCACAGCAGAAGAAACCTCAGTGAAGCACTGTGTGTGAAATATTTGAGAGCTATGTAGCATTCTACTTAAATATCTTTGTAGTTGTTGAACGTTCAGAAAGAAATGCAATAGTTTGAGCTGATGATCAAGGCGAACTATCTCTAAATATTTGTATAATGGATTCCATATTAACTTGTGCAGTTTTTTTTTCTTTTTTTTCAGATTTTATTTATTTATTTGACAGACAGAGATCACAAGTAGGCAGAGAGGCAGGCAGAAAGAGAGGAAGGGAAGCAAGCTCCCTGCTGAGCAGAGAGCCCGATGTGGGGCTCGATCCTAGGACCCTGGGATTGTGACCTGAGCTGAAGGCAGGGGCTTTAACACACTGAGCCACCCAGGCGCCCCCAAATTTGTGCAGTTTGATTTATATGCTCTATTTAACAGCTAGAAATCTCTGTCTTAGTATTCAAGAGTTGAGTTTTCTCTAACATCCTACCTGGTTGGCCAGCTTTTGCTTTAATACATATTTTTGTAAATCTGATTTGGAATTCATCTCTTCATTTTATAGAGTCTCATTTGTTTTTCCTTTTATTTGGTGTGCAATACAATCTTTTTCTGAATCCTAATCCCTAATTTGACTTTGTAATAGAAGTTTTCAAGAAATAAAATATAATTCAGAAAAAAAATGGAAAATTTAAAGCAAAAACATAGAATTTTTTTATAAGTTTGAGCCAGCTTAATACTATATTTCATAAATGTCTAGGAAATGTCCTTTGTTTAACATTAATTTTTTAAAAAATGTTGCGCGCAGTTTCATAAAGTCATTTATCTTATAGTGCCACCTAGTGGCAGTCTTGATGAATAAGCTATTGAGACATTGCCTGGTAGAACTCGTAAGACAATACACAGTATAAAAGTGTACAAATTTGTCCATAAAACAATTTAAGTGCAGCATTTTTTGTGGGCTCTGACTATTGCTTTTATTTTTTCTGTTTATTTTTGTTTGAGAAATCAGAATTTTAATTATTCCATTGACCAATGTTATTTTCCACTTTAGTACATTTTATTATGAATATTAGATTTATATTGAAGTCTATATGTGAGAAACTGAATATTGTCAGAATATTTATCTGATTCATACTAGTAATGGTTGAACTCATTAATAATGTGAATTAATTATTTCTTATGATTAATACAAATATTTCAGTTTGAGAAGAATCTTTCATGGACTACAGAAATTTCATACTAACGAAAGGTTTTTCCATACATTTGACATTTACTCCTTAAATATTTTCCTGATAAATTGTTGTGCATTGAAGGGATGGAGTGATTGTAATCCCATTACTTCATCAATACTATCCTGATAGCATAGAGTTTATGGCATATATACATATATATGTATATATATATACATATATTAATATATATAATATAAATATATAAATATCCTGTCTATCAAAAGTTACAGGAATGCAGTAAGTTCCAGGAATGCAGGCTATCACAAGTTCCAGTAATATGCTGTCAATTGAAAATATGCTGTCAGAATTCTTGAAATAGCTGACTATATATTTTTAAATTACGTACCAATGAATGTCTCCTTCTTGGTTTAGTAAAAACTTACTTTTATAGAATCTCTTTTACCTTTGTGGGTAGAAGGATTAAGATCTATATTATGTTCCAGTATGTGGGTACATTTGTTTGGGTTTTTGGTCCAATTATGCCATTACCTAGCTTGGAACTTTGGAAAAGAAATTTCTTTGGATCTCGGTTTCCACATCTGTAAAATACTGTTTAAGGTTCATTATAGCTACAAATCTCCATGACTTCTTAATTTGTATGGCCTCTGCTCATTGTCCTATTTGCATTGCTTATATTACCGTTAAGAATCCATTGGTAGGATCCAATTAAGTTCTAACAGAGATCATACATTGAGATCTGATGGTGTATATCGCATGCACTTGGCATTTTAGGCACACACATATACTTAACATACACTTTACATATATTGAGTCCTCAAAAGACTATATGATATATTATCATCCTCATTTTTCAGATAAAGAAATTGAAAATCTGGAGGATTAGTTAATTTACAGGGATTTCTAAAACCATGTCAAAGCCTGGACTTTATCCTGACTCTGACTGTCTCCAAAGCTCACGTACTTTCCACCATAGTATATTTTCTTTTAATGTAAAAATTTCAGATTAGGAAGCAAATCAGTATAAAACTGGTCACTGTTACTAAAGCAATAGTAATAGATTGAATGCTTCCTTCCCTAAGTTTTATAAAACCCTCTGTTCCACGTATGTGACTGACGAGGCTCATTTTATTTCCCTGTTCAGTTCACATTGACTCAAATACCCATGTGAGCCACCTGTTCCTTTTTTGTTAGGCAAAACGTGCCTCAGATATTTTTTAATCCAGCCCTGTCATCGTACTTATGAGGTTTCCAAACTAAGACTTAAATGACAACCAAAGTAGAACAAAAAATAACAGTTGGTATTGGAATCCTGGCTTCTTAACTCCTACTAATTTGTTGTTGTCAACATTTTTGGTATTAATCTGTTTGTGGTTTTTTCCTCTTCACCCATAATTTTTTGCTCTCACTTACCCAGCTATCTTTTCTGGGTCTGTTATACTGTCACTTTCTAGTAGCCGTACATGCTGAAACCCTCTTACGTAACTGCCTACCATTTATCTCTTCTCAAAGCTTGCTGTTTAACAAGTTCATTGATTCCATAGTCTTTTATCAAATATTTATTTGGTACCTGTTTTAGATAGACATTGGAAGTTATTCCTAACATATGGCAAAAAGCTAGGCATTTGTGGAAATTTACAGGGAAATAGAAGGAATTCTTTCCCATTGAAGCTTACAGTCTTAGTTGCACCTCTGATTTTCAGAAGTTTCAGTACTTGTGGTTTTTCAGTCAGTTTCTACTGACAAGACAGTCAAGTCCAGTACGACATCAGTTCATTTTTGCTACAGGTATAGAACATTTATTCACTATTTACTGCCTTTTATAGAATACATGAAACATTATTGATGGGCCCTGACATACACTTTTTAATTTGCTTGAGTAAATTTGTAAATTTCTCTAAGATTTGAATTTTATCCATGAGAAAAATTTCTAATACCATGAATTTTGAAACCAGGTGACTAGAAATATTACTCTAATATGGTTTTATGGCTATATATTTCACAAGTAATGCTGTGAAAAAACCCATAAGAAATGGACTTTATTGGAAAGAGTCCTTTTTTCCCTCTGATGGTAGGTCTAAATTCTAAGCCCAAATATATTTTAATCAGGTAATGAATAGTATTACATCACCCTTAAAAGAAACTTACTGAAGAAACAAATAAGTAAAAAATATATCCCTTGTATTCTCTCAGACGATATGGCTATAATATAGAAAAAGAGGAAACAGTGGAGAGAAAATAATATTTTAAAACATAACCCGTCTAAAGAAAAACAAGAGGAAAAGACAGACCATAAGAGAGAATCTTAGCTGTAGACAACAAATTGAGGGTTGCTGGAAGGGAGGTGGGTGAGGGAAAATGGTTAGATGGGTGATGGGGATTAAGGAGAGCAGTTTTTGTGTCGAGCATAAGTGATGAATCAATGAATTCTACTCCTGAATCTAATATTACATTATATCTTAACTAACTAGAATTTAAATAAAAACTTGAAATATTTAAAAATAATAAAATAAAATAAAACATGGTCTGTCTGGTAGGACTTCTTTCCTGTAGTTTACAGCATCATACTATTTGTCAATGACATTTAGAAGTCAAATAATGCATTATTAAACTTCTTAGAAAGGAAATTATTTTGATCTAACTCAATTAAATTAGAATGCCCACTCAAAGCATGTATAGGTCAAATTACAGAACCTCTTTGGGAATTTAATACTTTATGGGGAAATAAACAATCATGTCTTTCCAAATTAAAATGAAAACCACCCCCCAGGCTTTTTTTCCCTTGTCACCTTTCTTATTCAGCTTCATTTTCATTTTCCAGAATTCTGTAGAAGATGTTCTGGCAGTTTCCAAAGTATTTTCAAACAATTGATTTAAAAACAATACTGCTGACATGCTACAGTACTTTTATATTGTTCCAACTTGGTAAATGAATAGGAATATTTGGAGGAAATGTATTTAGTTAAAAACCTCCTTTAAAGGGACCATATTAAATGATATATTGACCATATTTTGAAGAATTGCCATAAGGAGTCTCAAATTTCCCTCATGCTGCCTGTAATTTTCTGCTTATGGAATTTCTCTCAAGGCATATTAAAATCACACATCTTGTGCATATAATATTTAAATCTCTGTTCTTAAAAATTTTATGCTGTGGACTAAATTCTCTCTCTCTCTCTCTCTCGTTTTCATGGTTGGAACATTAATTCCAGATTTATTAGTTTGATCAGTGATCCATAGGAATGCAGTTGTGCACTGAAACAGAGAAATGGAAACAGGCAAACGTAATGAAACATTTTAAGTCATCCTTAAATGTAATTTATTTATTTTGAATATTGCCATTCTCTAAATGTTTTCAATAAAATCAAATAATAACTCCTCACTGTCATTTTCACATTCACAAAGGTTTCATGAAATCTCCTTTTCCATTTTGTTCAACTACTTCATTTCCTCCTTGATTTTTGTTCCAAGTTGAGGCTGGCAGAGAATTGTGTCTTCTGGATCCGGATCTTTTCTCCTACTCCTTTCCCTCTGCAAAGCAGACACACCGAAATGGGTGCCTTGTCTCTACCTCTCAGTGGGCTCCTTCAGCTCTTCCTGGCTGTGGAATCAAAGTCATCCAAGTGCTGGCAGCATTTTTTTTTCTTTTTTAGTTGGAACAAAAACAAATCAGGCAATTATATCAAAGAATAGGTAGATTTTTTTTTCTTTTTTTCCCTTTTTTTGAGACTAGGTAGAATTTAAAAAAAATTATCTAAGTGAGATTACACTGGTTTTTACACTTATGTATTAAATTTGGAAATATTTTTCACAAAATATTTTACTGGCCTTCAAAGATACAAGTTTTCTTTATGATAGCAGATTAATAGTGTTTTAAATTGTTTTTCCTTTTTTCTGGCATTTCATTTCATACCTGAGTGGATCCCTAACATCACAGGTGATGGCATTTAGATGTTCTCACTGGACAATAATGACAGTAATGGTGGCTTGCACTAATATGGCCTTTCCTATGTGTCAGGTGTCCTTCAAACATTTTACATGTATTAACCCATTCATTCTTCATCTAGGCCCTATGACGTGAGTACTAGGTATGATCCTTGTCTTCAAAATGAAGTGTGAGACAAAGTCCCACAGCTGATGAAGGGCAGAGCTCAGATTGGGACCCAGGTAGTTTGTGTAGATCTGTCACAGAGGAAAGATGATAAATTTTTGAATTAGAGAACATCATGGGTAGGAAGGGTAGAATGTTTGGCTTCCAGTCATTGGGCTTCAAGAGCTGATATTCAAGAGATGAACTGAGCTTTCAGGGGATTCTAACACGTTTACATTTGCAATAGTGGCCCTTGTAGCAATAGATTGTGCGAGATGCTCCACCTGCCACCTGGAACGTGGAGGGATGCTTGCATTCTTCATGGAACACAGCCTAGGGGGAAAGTCTTTCTCATGACTGAAACCCTGGTTGGAAGTTTTTTCCTCTATTTATTGCACACAAGAATCTTGATGTCTTTGTGACAGTGCCCATAGGTTTGGTTGAGCCTACGTGTATTTAGATACATCTGAATGGGGTTCCATCCTGAGGATTCAGAAATATTTTGTTATTTAAAATCATCAGTGTGGGTACACCATAGACAAATCTGAAAAATCCAACTAAGTGTTTTTAGTTGTGTAATCCATCCTCATATGGCGTCACCGGGACTGTTTGGTCACAGATGACCATGTTACAGAAGTGTTTTCTATCTAGTGTTCTGGCTTGTCCACATCTTTCCACATTAGATTTTTGGTTTTGTCCCCTCCCAACTTATCCCAGTTTTCCTGGGACTTTTCTGATTTTTAGCCCTGAAATCACTGCGTCCCAGAAACCTCTCAGCAGTTGACAACCAGAGATAGAAAGAAACTCTGATTTCTCCAAACATTTTTATAGCCCTTTTTTATCTTCTTCTCCCCGACCCCCTGCCATAAATTTGCATGTGTATTGGTTGGAAGGAATCTGTATTTAATCTCTAGGTGTTTGGTTTTGTTTGTTTGTTTGTTTGTTTTTTAATCTCTAGTCATTAGGAAGTTTGGGGGCTCGATTACAAAGTTTCTGAGAAAGTTTTTTTGAAAACTTTTATTTCTAAATTATACTAGCTGTACATTTTTATGCATCTTCATCTAGTTATCTGGTATATTTACCTCTAGTGACAAAAGTAATAATTGATAAACCATATGTTTATGAATATCTCTCCGGAAAAGAAGCTGTGAAAAGAACAGTTAAAATGTTTTATTTATTACAAACACAAAATATACTTAATAAGTTCTGGAACTACAAAAGTTATTACAATTAAAGATGTATGTATGTTTTTCCCAACCAAGTTAGATAAATATTTCTACCTAAATAAAATTGTTCTATGTAGTCTATGTAGAGTTCTGTATCATGCATACACACATAGGAGTTTTATATATTTTGCCAATTTTTAAGTTATTTCTTATTCCTTTGGATTCTGGGTTCTTAATTGAGTAAGGTTAAGCCTGAATTAAGATACTGACCTTTTTATTTCTAGGAGAATTAGTTATCAGTATCACATTGATTCACGTTTAACAATGGAAGTATATATTGAGAGTTACTATATGCTAGGCACTGTTTTAAGTGATTTTCAAGTATTCATTACGTTCTCAAAACCCACTGAGGTTGGGACTATTCTTATCATCTGCGTTTAGCCCTATGGATCAGATAAGCGACATCTCTCATCTAAAGAACTGAGCTCGTAGGTGTTGGAGGTGATATTCGAACCCAGCAATCCAGGCCCAGGGTCTGGTGGTACCCCGGTGCACCCTCAGACTCTACGATTATGGGAAACCTCTCTGATGATGAAAATGCATTGAGAAGTTAGAGAACGGTTACACTACATTGAAGTTGAAACCGGACTTGTTAAAACTCACTGAATTTATTTCATGTTTCTTCCCTGGGCAGAGTGTGGTGGCCGACTGAAAGCAGACCCCAAACCCAGAGACCTGTATTCGCATGCGCAGTTTGGTGATAACAACTACCCAGGACAAGTCGACTGTGAATGGCTGTTAGTGTCAGAACGGGGCTTTCGACTGGAGTTATCCTTCCAGATTTTTGAAGTGGAGGAAGAAGCCGACTGTGGCTATGACTATGTTGAGCTCTTTGATGGTCTGGATTCAACAGCGGTGGGGCTTGGTCGATTCTGTGGATCAGGGGTAAATACAATACTGACAGGATCCCATAACCGTGCTAGAAAATGCCCACTGATTCATGATTGCTACGTGTACCATATGCAAATCGGCAATGTTTTTACAAAAAAAAAAAGGTTAACCCGTATTATTTTCGCCTATTCTCCCTTAACTCTTCTCCATCTCTAGTGAATTTTCTCAATAATATCACACAAGAGAGATGAATTTAGTAGGTATAATTGCTTGTTCATGTCCACATTCTTTTTTATTCACGTTCTTTTTGTGCAATAAATGTTTAAACATTTAAGACTCTAAAGGCAATACATTTAAACACATACCTTTGACAATTTGGTAAGCTTTCTAAATTAAAGCATAAAGGAAAAGGAATTATGCACACAATTCAAATTGGCATTCCCCTTTCAACAAAGACACTTGCTGAGTGGCTCGTGCCACCACTGGTGTGTGGGCTGAGCCAACACTACCACAACGCTGCTCCATTGCAGTGTGTCACTTGTGCATGGGACACAATGCCAGACACAGGTCAGAGAGTGTCGCCGTGAGAAAAAGCAAAAGGAAAGCTTGAGATTTCCTTCATGCTTTTCTCCCCAGAACTCCCTACATAAATATCAAGGGGTCTTCTGAATACATACTTTGTTCTGAAGACACTAGTCCCATTTTTTTTTTTTTTTTTTTGTCTACCAGTGTCTATTGCTTACATAATACTGAACTTGAATGATATTGAATTCCTCTCCAAATATCAGCTGAAATGAAAGAAAAAAGCTTTTTGGTATTTAGATTATTAAAATAAGAAGGAATGGATAATTTGGATTCTGGAAGTGGCTCTGCCTCAGAGCCCCTTCTGAAACAAATTCAATCTCTTTACCGTCTTTGAACCTTACTTTATTTACTTGTAAATCAGAGGAACTTGGTTTAAAATTTTGGGGGAAAAAACCCACAAGTTCCAGAACTTGGAAACAGATTTATGTTCCTAGCCCAGCTACATCAATGCCTATGATCTTGAGCATGTCATTTGCTTCTCTGAAACTCAAGTTTGCTCATCTGTAAAATGAAGAAGTCACTCATACCCACTTTTCAAGGTTGCTGGGAGGATAAAATCATATACAAAAAAAAAAAAAATCCCAAAGAAACATGAATTACACTGAAGAAAAAAAGTGACCCATTCTGTTGTTTATTTGCCTGTTTGTTTGTTTTTGTCTTCAGCCACCAGAAGAGATCTATTCAATTGGGGATGCAGTTTTAATTCATTTTCATACTGATGACACAATCAACAAGAAAGGATTTCATATAAGATACAAAAGCATTAGATATCCAGATACTATGCATACCAAAAAATAACACCAAAACCTCCATCAAAATATAAAGGAATGTGCATAATGGAGAGAAGACGTATTTTTTTTTTTAAATGAAGATACTAGCACAAATGTTTTATATAATGAGTTTGACCAGAAGAAAACTGTAAGACCAGGATTATCTCTGTACTAAAAGAGAAGTTTCAAGCCAACTCTGATCAGCATTGCCAAGATACTGGATTTCCATGCTTGATGGTATAAATATAAATAAAGTTGATGAGAGGACATCATGTAACTTCAAGGAAGAATCCAGAAGCTTTTGTTCACAGTTGACATAGATGTCTTGCAATAGACAGTTTGATTCGGGATCTGTGACCTTGCAGAGTGTTTCTTTTTGACAATTTTTCAAGATTTGGGAGAAATAAAATGATCTTGCAGGTCATAAACTGAGAAACTCTCTTCTTGTATTTTAGAATGAACGCTTTGGCTTTGTATCTTGGATACAGATCCATATGGGATGTTGTGAAATGGGAGTCTGAAGGGCGGTTTGTCCTTTAAATGTGGGCTTGTCCGGAAGTTTGGAAACTGGAATATTTCAGCTTCATTATTTTCACTTGCAGGCCAGATTCACCTCTATGAGACACAAATGACCTTGAGACCACTTCATTTTACTGACGTTTTGACAAGTTGGAAATGCCAATAGTGTCTATTACTGCAGTTAAACTCTAGGCATCATTTATTTAAGTGCTGGAAAATGCCCAGTTAATTGGTAAACTCAAGTTCTTTCAGTGAAAGTGCTGCCTTTTCACACCAAATTTAAGAAGCGTTGTGATGTCTTGGGAACTTCAAGAGAGAACTCCCAAGAGGTGTGAACAGAATTCTTCGAAGTGACTGCCTGGATAGTCCATTCTCAAGTCACCAGTGCTGCTATTGTCTTTTCTGTTGTTGTTGATCTGTTGTGGTTGTTATTGCTGATGTTGTAATAGTTAATGTTGTATTTAAAAAAAAAAAAATGAAATGAAGTGGAAGTAGGCTGTGTAGTCATTGAAAGGTCTCTCTCTCTCTCTTTTTCTTCTTCTTCTTTTTTTTTTCTCTCTTCTTGGGATTCATTTATAAAAAAAAAGGAATGTTGGAAAAAAGGATTTGTTTCTGAAAGACTTTCTATGGTGCTATTCCATAAATTTTTTTTTAAACAAAATTTTTGATCTTTGAGCCAACCATCTGTAGACTATGAATGTCTCCCTATGTCTATCTTGTGGCATTTGAAGACTAAAGACTTGTTAAATGTATTAAGAGTATATCATTGCAAGGGCAACACTTGTCCTGTGGAACAATTACTTATAATGCCTTAGAATTCTTGCACATGATCAAACAGAGCCTCCTAGGAGACACACTTTTTGAAAGGTTGAACAAAATAATTTATGTTAATTAGCAGCTCTGTGAGGAAAATCCATTTCCACAACTTAGAACATTGGGTATAAATATGGTGACCTGCTTTTGTTCTGCTTTAAAGGCATGTGTGTTTTTAATATTGTGTATGTATACGTGAGGTTGTCTGAGTGAGTGAAGCTACAAGAAGATGAAAAGTAGTGGGTGGTGGAAAAGTTAAAATTTATGTGCCAAGTTCTACTAGAATCCTGTTTGAAGTAGCACCTTTCTTTGGAGGTTTCATGGACAAATAATGGGAACTTCTAATTATTATTAACGCATTAAAAAAAAGGCTTTTTCTTTTACAGAAACTCTATTTTGATATGTTTTAATGTTGATGTTGATTGCTATATGAAGTAGATTTGTTTCTGTTACCTGTCCATGAACATTTGACATTTAATAAAATTGGGTATTTTTCTTCATTTTAACAAAATTAAACTATACACACAGGTGTAGCTTATTCACTTTTTTTGTCATTGCTGCCCTGAGAAATATTTCTTGCATATGAATTATAATATGTAAATACATTTTTAAATCCAGTCTTTTGATCTTACTGAATGTTACTTTGGGAGTGTGTAACTATTGCCTGCAATATAATGAACTTTTTAGTGGAGCTGATTTATTCCAGTAACTTCTATATTTTTTCACTAATCTTCAATTAGCCAAATATATCAGCAATGGGAAAGAGAGGGAAAAATACCATTAACATCTAGTGTATTACTCTATGCCTAGCCCAGTACTAGGCACAGGACACAGGTTTTTTAAAAAACTTTATGCTACCCTTTGAGAATTGTGGTGATGTTCTTATTTTGTAGTTCAGGAATGGAGGCTCATAGGAGGTATGTAATGTTCCCAGGGTCACCGTGTAAAGTTAGATGTTGAAACCCAGCTTGTCTGCTATAAAAATCTGTGCTTGTTCTACAAAATGTAGTGGAATCAATATTGACATATATAAATAGTAGACATGTTTTTATGATGAAACCTTTCCAAATAAAATAAAATTTAGGGGTGAATTACAGTAAAACCTTCAGGATAAAATATATTGTTCTTTTCAGGAACAGCATGACATTTCGAATATCAACTGTAGATATCTTTAAGAACCACAGTTAGTGCTAGAGAATTAAAACAAAACAAAACACTTACTCTGTAGTTCAGAGTTAGTAGCAATGGATGGACCTTTTGTTAAAATAAATACATTAAATTATTTTATCTGGTGTGGTAGGGGAAATGTAGTGTTCTACTCTAAGAAGTATTCTGGATATTACAATTGACATCTTATTAGGTCAAAACGAGCTGCATTCAACACAACCGAGAATGAAAGTGAAAAGATATTTAGAAGGCATATATAGAGATGTTGCAACTTCAAGTCTTCAATGTGAACATTAATTTTTATTGTATCTTATGTCAGATATCAATCTGCCGCATATTATTTTTATATTCGATTTTGGCATAAATGTGTTGTTAATGCAAGTACAAACAGCTTTGTTGTTATTTTGTTAATACTTGTTAGTAACTGTTTTAAGCATTTTATTAAATTAATTTTGTAAATTATTTTCAACCCTACATCAGTATATTGGTTGTGCTCTCTATTTGCCAAAGCTCTAACTCCTATACAATCGTGATTATACACACAAAAAAACTGCTCCTACTTACTATGATTTTATTAAATTATTTTTCAAGTCAATTTTGAATATTAATGTACTTTATTAATGAGATCATGACTTAGCATAATTTCACACAACAACATTTTTAAAAAAGTGTATGAGAAACATCAGTAGTATTTCCAAAGTCTCCAAAATGTCCCCTTCCTGTATTGGCTGGATTTTTGCTATGTAAGACTAATTTTAATATATCATAGTATCAGATTCAAATTCTGCCCAATGTTGTTTTTAAATTTCTTAGTCTCTTTTATTTGGTTTCTATTGCTACTGTATTTTTGATGGTAAGCCTCAGATATTAAATTTTGCTCTCCCATAGAGAAAATCTCTAAAAGCATCTAATGACTAATTATTATTCTTCACAAAGGCAAATATTACTTTTTAAAATATTACTTTTTTAAAGTAAACTATAGCTATGTGTGGCATTTAAAAATAACTTAAAACAATTATCAAAATGTTTGGAAATTTAGTGACAATGGGAATAAAACTTGCTTTTTGGAAAAACTTTTGTGAAATCTGGCATGGGAGGAAGAAAACAGGAAAAATAATTACCTTCTAAAGATTTATAACTTGAAGTAATGCCTTCTATTTTATAAGAAAAATTATGTGAAATGAGCATATCATAAAGAAAACAAAAAGCTGTCTGTGAGTGCGCTAAAGCTTTTTATGCTTCAATGCACAGTAAATGGTCACCAATGAACAGTTAGCTGTTAATCTTTAGTGTTATTGTTATAAAATTAAGAGACGTTGCCATTAGCTTAAGAAATAATTGATGCAATAGATGGATCTAATATATTGTGAGATATTATTATTATTCTCCATACTTTCTGTTGACATCAACTTGTTTCATTGCCCAGCCACAACCTGCCCTCCTTTCAGCCCCACACTGGTGTAATCAGGCTGCAGGCAGGCTTGCCTCATGACTCTAGTCAATGCTGGTGCAGAGACTATGCAGAATGATTCCAAAAAGATTATAGGGCCCTGAGTACATCTCACTATATACAACTTACCTCTCAACCAATATTTTAAATAAATTAAAGCTGTAAAATCAACTTCTAACTTAAGAAAACTTGAAATGGAAACATACCTAGGTAAAAACAGGTAAAGACAGAAGAGTTAAGAAGCCAACATGTGGCTTAAGACATGTGGACAAAAGGTCCTGGTACCTGGTCTTGCCTTAGCTGCCAGGGTGGATGTGCTGAGTAATGAAATTACTTGTTATTAGTGTTATTTCTATGTGAATACAAGTTACTAGCTTCACCAGTCCCTCTGCTCTTACTGTGCTCTACCTATGTTGTTTGTGTAGCTGAGAAACCAGTTATATATCATTTTATTTTTGCCCAACTTATTTTGTCAAGTTTTCTGGCATATTTGCATCTGAAATAAAAAGAGCAAATAAGATTATTCAAAGCAACTTACAAGACTATAAACATGTGCTCAATGGTTCAGTGTATTTTACAAATTACACTTAAAAAACCAGATCCAATGGTGCCTCTTTTATTAAATATTATAAAGTGATTATATTAGTCATAATATTTAACCATACGACAAATCTAAGAACTGACAAATTTCATATCTGTCAAAAGCTCAATTAGGAATTTCTTTTTTAAGATTTTATTTATTTATTAGGTAAAGACAGAAGGATCACAAGTAGGCAGAAAGGCAGGCAGAGAGAGTGGGGGAAACGGGCTCCCTGCTGAGCAGAGAGCCCGATGCTGGTCTCTATCCCAGGACCCTGAGATCATGACCTGAGCCAAAGGCAGAGGCTCAACCCACTGAGCCACACAGGTACCCCCATAGGAATATTTTTAAAAGAGAAACTATTAGAAATTTAGTTAAAAATGATAATTTTCAATCAAAATGTGGAAGTGCCTGTATATTCCCTCATGATATTTTTATGTCAAAATCAGTGACTCACAGAAATGACAGCTAAATGTCAAAATAATGGTGGTAAGTTTGAAGTCAGGAGGAGGGGTTTATTTCAAGGAATACCATTAAATTATTTAAACAGGTTGATTGCCAGAAAAGACAAATAAAGTGAAAGAATTATAGATAATAAAGCTTAGGTATGTAAAGCTACCCTAAAAAAAAAATTTAGTGAACATTCACTAGGAGGCTGTAATTAAAATTAAAGTGAATTACAAGAAAATTTTCTACAAGGATCTAATAAATTTGTTAAAGTCCTTTATATGCCACCGAATGTCTATTACTGGTGTTTGAATTCCCTGGGAATAAAAGGTTCTCATGATAAGTTTTGTCATTTTCAAGCCAAAAGACATATGACAACCATGAAGTTTATTCACTCATTTATTTCACTTATTTCTTCCATAAATAGCTGTTTAATTCCTTCAAATATGCTCAGCATAATGCTAAATACTAAAAATTTAATGAAGCATTGGAAAAGAAAAAAAATCACAATTTTTGCTTTTGTGAGGGTTAAATTCTAGCTGAAGAGATAAACATTAATTAAAAGCAATCAAAAAGTGTCAAAATTGCAATATAAAACATGCATTTGTATTTTATAGCCATTCTGGGGACATTATTCCAAATAGCCTGGTTTGCATTTTGAGACAAACATTGACATGTATCCTTTCTTTATCCTTGGTTTTCTACTATCTTCTTTGCACTGTGCTTTTTAAAATTTCAGTTGTCCTCTAAAATTAACTTTTTTTTTTTGCATCAGTTACTCACTGTTTTTTTTTTTTTTTTTTTTTTTTTGCATCAAACATTCCTAAGTATTTTTAACTTGTAAATCATTCATTCTCAAGATGGATAATGGGGGTGACATAGCATATCAAAATTCTGATGTTTATTCATGTAATTAACTAAACAATACAACTTACAAAAATCACTACTGGTGGCCAGCATACATAGTGTTTGATAAATTCTAATTTTTATTATGATATACATTAAGATTCTTGAAACCCCAAACCTCTAATCAATGTTGGCTTAACTGGTGGGA